GGACAGTCGACCCCTAGAAACAATAGAGTACTCCTCCGCCAGCATTCCTTCCCCAGGCAAGCCATCCACCCCAAACCCACACCCTCCTAGTTGGGCCTTATCATTCTGCTCCTGTCCCTCCAGGGCCAGGTAGCAGACACTTCGAGACAGCCCCTGCACCCCAGAGACAGATGACGTCTTTCAAATGACACTGAGTCACCCATTCCTTCCTATGGAAATCATGACAGTTCCTGCCCACGTTTCCTCTTCTGTCCCTCTGCCTCCTGGCCGGCATGGGTACTGCTCCACATGGCCCTGCACCACCCAATGTGGCCTTCTTCTCCAGTGCCGAGAGAAGTGCGTGACTTTTCAGTGGCCTGTTCTCACCATACCTGAAAACCAGGAGCTAGGTGAGGGGATAAACAGGGGTTGAACCCAGGGCCTCCACACTGAGTAACATCCCCCCCCTTTTTACTTTTTATTTTGAAACGGGCTTGCAAAAATCACTGAGTTGCCTAAACCAGCTCAACACCCCAGAGTGCTGGAATTACAGACAGATTCCACCATGCCTGGCTTAAAACCTTTTTTTTTTTTTTTTTTTTGGTCTTTTTCCTTTTTATCGGTAACGGAGATCGAACTCATGACTGCCTGCTTGCAAGGCAGGCGCTTATGCCGCTGAGCTAAATCCCCCAGCCCCAAAACCTACATTTTAAAATAAGGCTTTTGCAAATTGGGATACTGTCCACCTGCTCTCTCAAAACTGAAAACCCAGAGAGATGGCAAAACAATATCATAATTACTTTAGTTCTCCTCTGTAAGAACCATATGACACTCACAGAAATGCGCAGAAAGACCTCAAAACAGTGCCAAATCTTCACCTGGCCTACAAAGCGCAGTTTGCACACTGCGCTTTAAGTTCCAAAACCCCTCATTTGTATGACAGCTCTTTTCTCCCCAGAGTCCAGGTGGGGTCTCTGGGCCCAGCCTCAACAGCAAACATTGTGCCATCCTCTTGGTCTTCAAGGACTAAACTTCCTCTTAAGTGTTCCTTCCTTTCATGCAAAGCAGTGACATGTAAAGTGTTTCTGGTAAGCCTTGCTTTTACATGCATAGATAAATCTAAATTTGTGGCCAGGTAAGACCCACCCACCTCCACAGCTGTATCTACTAAGAAGTCAATTAAAGAAGTTTGCAAGTGGGGAAAGCAGGAGCGAATAGACAATTCTCCAAGACGCAGTGCCGACCCCCTCAGCTCTGGTTACCTATTTGGGGAGATCCAAAATTTAAAGAATGAAGTAGTATTTCTGTCGTTCAGAAGGCATAGACACAGATCACTGACTGAGCTGACAGAAGGAAGAGATGTTATCTGACTAGGGTATCAGGAAAGGCATTGTGAGTGACACAGCTTGGGGTGATACTTAAAAAACCAACTGAGTTTTGAAAAAGAGCTTAAAGAAGAATTAAGCATTCTTTCCCTTGGTAAACACCTAGAGGTTGGACGAGAAAGAAAGATAGATTTGAGCTAAGGTAAAAAGACTGATTGACTGAGAAGGTAACACAAGGTGAGTGCAGAAGGTCAAAGCTGTGGAAGCAGTTGGTATCTGACTGGGGAGCTCTTGAGTGCCATGTGAGAATTATCTGTTGAGGGCAGTCAGTAAATATTTTGAGTTTTAAGGCTATGTAGTTTCTGTCACAGCCATTAAACCTTGCCTTTTACATGGAGAAAGCAGCCACAGGCAATATGTAAATGAATGGAGGACTGGGGAAGTAGCTTAGTGGCTTAGTGGTAGAGCGCTTGCCTAGTATGTTCCATGTTCAATCCCCAATATTGCCAAAAAAAAGACTAGTATATGAAAGGGCATGTCTGTTTTATTAAAACTGTATCAATGAACCAAATTTGGCTAGCAGGCTTTAGTTTGCCAATCACTGAAACAGAACATAGTCTTGAATTGGTTTGAGTCCTGCAATCAAGATCTTTGTTCAAACCTGTGGGGAAAACTGGATCGTAGAGGATGATTTCTCTAAAGACGAAATGCCCCAGGGTTCAGAAACACACCTTTTACAAAGTTGGGGCATCACCCCTATGGCCCCAGACCCAGCTGGAAGTTACAACCTTAGAGTCAAATAGAAAGAACACTCTGCCCCTCTGAAAATCTGAACTTCTACAACAGGTTTAAACTCTGCAAAATTTGTAAAGTAAGTGCAAGCAATTGCTCTTTGCCCCGGCCTGTTTTTGTGATCTGAAAGATCATAAATCCACCATTGACCCATCTGTTGATTTTTAATCCTTTACTGTTTCTCTTTTTCTCACTTTTTTTTTTTTTTCATTTTGTGATACCAGCACTGAACCAAGGCCTTGACAGTGGTCTGTTTCCCATCATTTTGAGAGTGTTGCTAAGTCATAACTGCCACAGGCTCAAACTTGTGACCCGCTTGCCTCAGCCTCCCAGAGTGCTGGGCTTAAAGGTGTGTGCCACCATATCTGGCTTGTTTTCTGTTTTAGGCTTATATTTGTGGAGTCCTTTGTCTGTGTTAGGCTGTGTGCTAATGCACAGATCACTGTGATTCTCAGAGGATTCTTCCTCAAATAAAGACAAACACACATACACATGCTGGCATATCATTGTAGGACCAAGTATAAGAATTCATATTAGTGAAGCATGAATCGTGGTGCACATCCATAATCCCAACACTCCTTTTTATTCTTGTATCCCGAATTGAACACAGGACATTGTGCTTGTCAGGCAGGTGCTATGCCACTGAGCTATATCCCCAACCCATTCAGCACTCCAGAGGCTGAGGCAAGAAGATCTCAGTGAGTATGATATACATAGTAAGACCCTGTCTCAAAAAATAAACGTTCATACTAGTTCAAAAAGATTTAATTAGTACTTTGAAGTTCCACCCTGTTAGTCATTAACTCTCTCACACATCCTGTATATCATTATTATTAGTCTCACTTAACTGATGAGAAAACTGAGGTTCGAAAGGCTCATTACTTGCCAAATTTATGTAGAAGTGTCAGCAAGTTGAAATTAGAATTCATGTGCAGCTGACTCCAATGTCTATGAGGGAAGGCTTTGCCTGTTCTATGATTTGTGGTTCCACTTCAGGAACGTTGCTGCGTGCCTTCCTGAGTTAACTTATTTAGTTACAATGAAAATAACATTACTTGCTATGATTGTTCAGCTTCCTTTGGATATGACCAGAATCTAGATGACCATATACATCAGCACTGGGGTTGATTCTAGCAACAGAATGACTCAGAGAAAGTACCCAGATCTTCCACTAGTCAACAAAATTCAAAAGGCAAATAGCAACATGGGGTCGAAGAAGGACACTCAGGTCATTTTCAGAGAAGCTGAGACAAGGGACAAGTGTGAGGCTAGATAACAGATGTGACTCAAGGTCCAGAGTCCTAGAGACAGAAAACAAGAAGTCAGAAAGAGGCAAAATATCTTTAACCTAGGCCAGAACAAGCTTGAGTGGAGGAGAGTTTGAACTAGATTCTAGCTGGGAAAGAAAAACTAAGACAGAGTCAAACTGTAGACAGTGGCCTGGCAGAGGTAACTGGAGAAGTCTTCCGGACCACGGTGAGATTGGAGTCCAGCTGACATTTTAGAGACTGGTAGGGTTGAATGGAAATAAATTGCTTGATCAAGGAAGGGCAGACTGGTACTGTGACTCTCTAGAATTTACTAGAAACCATTGCTTTGGGGCCAACTGTTCCTGAGCAGCCTTGATCTGTACCTTCCAAATGTTAGGTGTCTGATGTTCATATCGAAGGTTGAAAGGTATCTCATGGTAGGGCAATTGAAACAAAACTACACAGACTAAGACAAACCCCAAAGGATTGTCCGGCATCTAATCAAAGGATTGGAGACTAAAATATAGGGAAGGTTTTTACAGCTGGATGCCAAGACAGGTGTTTTTCTTATAGAAACATTACCTTAATGTTTTATAGCTGTGTCTATAAATGCTGGAAGACTTATTAGATTGTGCAATCTATTTTGACAGTTTATGATAGTTTGTTCTAGATGCAGTAAAATGTACATATTGATCAAACACGGGACTCTCATGAATGTTCTGTCTACAGGAGGTTGGACATAAAAAACAGGTCAATCTGGAACCTCTGAGTTCTAGGGAAATCAGGATTATATTAAACACTTTCCTTCCTTCACAAAGAGGACTGTGTTCCACCTTAGTATAAATTAACAATCAATTGATGCTTTGCTATTTTTTTGTTGAGTTTGGAATATGCCTCTTTACCACCCCCCCACCCCACCCCCCCACCCCCGGTACTCAGCTCCCCTCCTGGCCCAGCAAAAGCTTTAAAGCCCTACAGCTAAAACTAGTTCTGAATTCGGGTAGAAATAAACTAAAATAAAAATCAGGATGATGAAGGATGACTGTGAGATCATGTCACTGTGTGATATCATTTTCTAAAACTCAGAATACAGAACATGAGCTAAATTCAACCAAAAGAAATGGTAATGGGACATATCTGACAAATGTCAAAATTGCCTACCGTATATGTAAGGCTCTTTAAAACTGACCAAATAAATGTTGACAAATACCTGTCACAGAAAAAATTCCTCCCTACCTGAATATTGGTCTACAAGGTATGACAGCAATAATTTAGGTTCATATTTAAAAAGTTCTGTTGGGATGAAACATCTCCCTTACTAACAAAGCCACTGGGACAATGATTAGAGTGAGGCCCACACGAGACTGGGGGTGCACGAGAACTCTGATAAAATATTTTTGGGTAAATAATGACCCTGACTCTGAGAAGCTGCTTGGTAACAGATCATTTGGAAGGCCTAGATAGGAGTAAAGCAAAATATAGATAAGTAATCTTTGTGGCCCCATTCCTCACAGAAGTCCTTTTAAAGCAATATCCAGGAAGAAGTGTCCAAGAATGACTAAAAGACTGTAAAGGAAAGCAGTGAAAGTGCCCACAGCAAGCAGGTACTCGAAGTGGGTTTTAAATTCTCATTAATGCATTAGCGTATAATTACCGTGCTTTCCTGTTGGAAGCTTCAAGCAATCACAGGTCCCATCAGGAGAATGTACAGATGGCTTGGATGCACCTTGTATCCTTATCCATGAGTGAAGGAATGGGCTTTGTAGCTCTGTTTGTCTCTCACCAGAAGCACCTTCCCTCAGTGTCACAGGGAGACAGCAATATGAAGACTATTTTACTTTATTTTGTTTGAGGACTGGAAACTGAAAGATTATAACCTACAACACTTTTCTTTTCCTAAATGAGAATGGAACATATGGAATACAGGAAATGCACATAATTATTTTATTACTAGGGTTATTACCAATATTTGTTCCTCAGAACATAAACACTGGAAACTTTAATGACAGGTGTATAGGGGTGGAGGCTGGGGGAGCTGAACGGAGTTTCTGACTGATGGGGCACTCCCCAAACAGGGTCTTTATTTAGAGGCAGCCTGACCAGTCTCAGGCAGTTATGCAGCAAAATTAGAGACTTGCAGAATGCAAGACTTGGAAGGGCCTTCTCTGAGAGACCATAGCTGCTAGTTATAAATAAGAACTATGAGTCCAGACAAGTGAACTGACTTGGAGGATCACACAGTTTGCTGACCAAGTCACAGTCCCATGAATACCGCAAGACACAGTGGATCATTGCCTAAGACCCAGGAGACCTAAGTCTTTACATCAGTCCACTACCTAGCTGTATGGTTATAGAAAAGTCACTTTGCCTCTCTGAATCTATTTCCTTAAAAATGACTGTGGTGGTTTTTTTATTTTTATTTTTTATTTTAAAGAGTATAAAACCAATCAAAACAAACCAGTGTAAAGGACTCAGGACTTCAAAACATTACAAAATCAACAATAGATACCATAATGCCTTTTGATGTCCTTAAAATAGCTGCAGATAACTTTGGATATAGTGAAAATCAAATAGAACAAAATAGAATAGAAACAATAAAAACAAAGCAATGAATACAACAAAGAACTTCAAAACAAGCCTAAAGTAAATCCAAAATTGTTACCATAATATGTCTTGCTGCACTGGGGATTTGGCTCAGTGGCGTAGGTGCCTGCTTTGCAAGTGTGCAGTCATAAGTTCGATTCCTGATACCAAAAAAAAAAAAAAAAAAAAGTTAGCATAATATATCTTGCTATCTTTGAAATAGCTGTTCCTACCATCATATTTGACATAATCAAACAACACAATAAAATCAAACCAAACAAAACAATGGAAGCGATAGAGGACTTCCAAAACAAGACCATAGGGAGTCAACAATGGCTGCCACCCTCAGAAGGAGATCCCCTCATTGATGTCACACTGTATACCGATATCCTCTGAACCCATGGTCAGACCACTGGCTCTAGACCTGCAATGTCAGTGAAACACCAAAGCACCAAGGCATCCAATTGCATTTCACCTCCATAGCTATCATCACAGCCTGTGTTTCTCCAGATAAGCTAGTCACTTACAGGGGGGCAGCACTATTGGGGGTTCGGTTGGTACTTCTTGTTTGCCAGCCCACATGCCGGAAAGGGCTGGGGTCTGTCTGTTCCAGTTTGGCAGCAGCCCGCACATGGCGCTGGTTCCCAGACTGGGCTTTCTTGCTGGAGTGACCTTATTCTCTCTACCCTTGGCCTGCTAATGGCCAGCTGTGGCAGTTTAATACTTACTTGTCTTCTGAGATTGGTGACTGTACAAAAAAGAGAGAAAATGGGCCTGAAAATACAAAGTTCTCTAGAACAAATGATTACGTAGTTGTATATGAGTATGTGTGCTTATACCAACATATGGTTTTTGTAGTAGTGTAAGAAAAGCTTGGGGAGAGATGTACTCATTTGCTGGCATTGATTTGTTTGTCCCGTTGCCTATAATGACTGCTTTCTTAAACTGGCTTAAGATTTTGACTTCCTGTCCTGTAACTGAGAAGTCCAGAGATAAATGGGCTTCCATTTCAGCTGGGCCTGGACACTCAAGTGATGTCATCCAGGCCCTTGCTTTGCCTTTTCATCTCAGTTGTCCTCTTGAATGGCCCCATTATTAGGCTGTAGAAAGTGGTTCTTAGTAGATTCAGGTTCACTTCATCTGTACAACCACCAATCGCAATAGAAAAAAAGAATGTCTTGTTTTCTGTCATATAATCAAAATATATTGAAATGTGGACCTGACTTTGCTCATGTACTCATCTTTGGGTCAATAACTGGCTGGGGGAAAACATTTAGTAGTGAGCTGAGTTCAAGTAATTGCCTCTGAGTCTCAGAGTAGAAATATTTGTACATAAATAATACAGTTTCAAGAGGGAAGAATAGTTAAAAAAAAAAATCAGTGTGGGCATTAGTACCACAAAAGGAAGAGTGGATCCCAAACAGGAGAAGGGTAACAGAGGTAGCTCAAAGTCAGGCAGCCTATGTCCCAACAGTAGCTTTGCACAAGCTTAGGGTAATAACTTCTCTGAGCCTCAGTTTCTTTTTCTGTAAGAATAACCCTTGCTCCCAAAGACTGCAATGAGGATCACATACAGTGATTATAAATATTGTCAAGAAAATTGTGCAACTGCTGAGAAAGAAAGCAATTTATACAGAAAAGGAGGAATCAGACAATATTAGATATATAAAAAGTTGAAAAAATTACATTTGCTCCATTCCTCCCAGCCACTCGGGAAAAATACTATGACTGGAAGCAAGAGATGCATAAATAAATTGGGCCTGGAGTAGCAAACGAGAACACAAGTCCCAATTCTGCTTTTTGGAGAAGGTATGCCAATTACTTACGGGCTTTCTCTTTGTTGTAGGTATTTGCAAATTAGAGTGTGTTGGACACTGCGTGGGAATGGGTGCTGAGAACTGTCATCGATCACTGTCCATCCATCTCCCCAGGGCAGCTGCAGCTTCTTCTCTCACTGTGTGGTTACCACACATTCAAAGAACACAAGATGAAGGGTGCCAGTCCTTAAAAGTAAGTAAGCACATCATCCTTAATATTTTGTGTTCCTTTTTCTTTTAAAATTTTGCTTAGCTAGGTGTACAGTAGATGACTAGAAAGTCAAACCCATAGCATAAGAGAAGTAAGTTGAAAGAACTGGAGGTGTTTAAAAGAGAAGGAGCCTTATTTCTCTTTCAGTTTATTATTATTCTTTATTTTTTACACTAGAGAGACAATACTAGATATTGTAATGATGAAAGGGAAAGAAAGTGCTTGAAAGGAAAGAACAACTGGTAGGTGTACACATATAACTGTATATGAACTAACAAAAACTTATGGTTATCAGATAACCATACTACTAAGTTTTTGTTAGTTCATCAAACAGAATACTTTGTGCTGTCCTTGTTTGATTGTCTGTTCGTTTTTCATGCTTTGATTTTGTAAGTTGTACAACTACTTCTAAGGTAACAATATGCAATATATCAACTAGTGATGATTTCTTAACATTGTTTTGAAATTCTATATCATTTCTACCCTTTTTTCTGTCTTGCTTTTTTGAAATAAAAGGGAGAGAAAGAGAGAGAGCCATAGGTGTTCAGAGGGAATCCCGTGACTATTTCTGTTACTTGAAGGCTGACTACGTTTTCAGTGGTTCGAGTAGCTCCGGCAGCCACTGGGGAACTGAGAGCCAAGGAGCTCTCAGGATGAAAAGCAGAAAAGCATTTCTAGTGTGTGAAGTTGACAGCAATGAAATATCCCATGCTGAGATGCGCTAAGTTCCCTGTCACTTTAGATGTGGGATAAGGGAGGAACAAGGATTTGTCACAAATACCTCAGAGAGGATACAGGCGTCTGAGGACTGTTCCCCAGGTCCGGGAGGTGTGGAAGTGCTGTGTGTGCCTTCTCCACAGCCTGCACGCATTCGGTGCCAGTGTGCTCTGACCAGCTTCTGCTTTCCAGTGTCTACATCTCAGAGCCTGAAGGGTTTTCCGAGGCGATAGAAGTCTGCCCTGTCTTCCTGTGGGTGTCAGTTGTGAAGGTCTGGGAGACTACAATTCCCCCAGGAGTGGCTGTCAGTCAGTGACCCTCAGGATTTGGTATACAAATACCTCAGCCACCTCATCCGGGGGTGGGATAGTTCTGAGACATGTTTTGGACCATTTCCTAGAGTTTCCCTGAGATATTAGGCTTCGGAGGAAATTTGCTTTTATTATCTGCCTCCCTCCCCACTTTCTCTCCCCTACTGGGGGTCCCTATGAGCATTCCCCAAATAAACTCATTTCAGAGTCTGCTTCTTAGTAAACCAAATTAGGAAATGTCTCACCTAACACTATTTGTTCATTTAGTCATTCAGAAACTAACATCAAGACTTACTGGGGGGTGGTAGGTCCTATGAAAGACATTACAGTCCTCGTGTAGCTCTGCGTACGAGGACACCCAGTAAAGAAGAGAAACATGGGATGCACCATGAATTTTCTACACCACAGGCTAAGTAATGTAGTGAGAGGCAGCTCCAGCAGCAGCCCAGCAATCACCTCGTGAGTCCTTTGGCATTTTCTTGGTTTCCACAAGCAAGGAATATTTTTGGAACAAAGAGTTCTTAGAGGCCGGGACTCCTTGCCTTTTTTGGTTATGGCCTCCCAGGAGCTGTACATGTATTCTCCCTCATGTTCTCTGGAAAACCCAATCTAACAGTGAGTCTGTACCCCTCTACCCCACCTTCCAGCCCACATACTCCCTGGGCTGCAGCAAGACAGATGGGGAAGGCTTTGGCAGTAAGGGTGGACACACTCCCAAGCCCTCAGCCTGCTCAACCGTGTTGCCAGCACCAGCAGGCTGAAGTGGCCTCTTTATTTTAAAAATGGAAAGGACCCAAAGCTTCAAGTCCTTCTAACCCTTACACACCCCCACCCTCCCCACCCCCACCCTCCCATCCCACAAGGCTCATCTTAAAAACCCACTTCCCCTAAATTCCTCTGGGAAACCTTCCCCAGCCTGTCACTCCCTGCTCTCCTCTAAACTCCTCTGTGGCGCCTAAGAGGACTCTTCCCTCTTCTCCCAGAAGTTACCACAATCTTTTCTTGTGTAAATAGGTCTTCTTTGTGGACAGAAGCAATAAGCACATTTTATTTGCTATGAAGTTTTAAGGTTAAGGTTTATGAAGTTTACTAAAGAGAGAGATGTGAACAGATAAACTAAAAAGCTTAAGAAAACCCATATGTCAACCAGGAAGGAAAAAGATAGACATTTGTGCAATCATACTATTGAAGAATTACATAGCCATTAAAGAGAAAAAGGTAAAACTCTGTGTACAGGTGAGGAAAAATGTCTGTATCTGTTAAAAATAAACCGTATTCACAAAAAGAGATGAAGGAAACCTAAACGCTTGTTGCCAAGGCCAGTCTGAAGAGCCTATATACTGTATAATTGCAGTTATATGACATTCTGGAAAGGCTAAAGTACAAAGTTGTAAAAAGATCAGTTGTTGCCAGAGGCAAAGTTGGATGAGGGCTGAATAAGCCCATCACAGAAAATTTTTAGGGCAGTGAAGCTATTCTTTGCAGTATTTTAGTGATGAATACATGACTGTATGCGGTAACACCCATAGAATGTACAACACAAATCATGAATCAATATTGGCTCATCAGTCGTAACAAATGTATCACACCAAAGCTAGATGTTAATAACAGGAGTGAAAGGGGCAATTGGGAACTACTTATCTGCTTAATTTTCTCTAGACCTAAAAATGCTCTAATAATAAAGTCTACATAATTTTTGAAAATTATAGGACAATAGATTTAATGTTGTATAAAAAATAATTGCTCTTGTATGTATGTATATTCATCATTTGGAAACATAAGAAATGGTCTAGAAAAATGTGTACAAAACAAAATGTGAGCTGCTGTTCTGGTAAAGAAAAGGAAAAGGATTATTTTTTAATGAAATACTTCAGAAGTAAAACAGTATACAGAATACAGTATACAGAAACATTTTTTTCTTTTTGGTACCAGGGATCACCACTGAGCTAAACCCCCAGTCCAGAATAAAATAATTAATATACCTGTGTACTTGTTATGAATAAAAAACTGGTGGTCAACTTAACACCAGCTGGATTAATTCAGCATGGTGCTGAGCATAGATGTTCCGCCTGAGGAAACTTGCCAGCATGAATAGAGATGTGGAGAAGACTAGTGAGACGTTGTGAGTGAGATGTTGTGGGTTCTCCCACGTATTGCTGTTTGAGCCACTGGTTCTCCTGAAGGAGCTTGTCATGACTAGCTTCCCTAGTGTGAGTTTGACCATTGTCGTTAGAGGAGCTTAGGACTTGTTGGTGAGAGTGGCTGTGGTTTACTTTGGTCCTTACATGGAGCATTGCTTCCTGGCTTCAGAAAGGAAGATGTATGCTGTTTAATCTCCAGGAGAAATTCATCACGCTGGCTTTCTGGCATGTACTGGACTGTTCTGCCTCTGTTCTGTCAGAGGAGCTCGGGACCTCCGTGTTGAGTCACTGAGGATGGCTGTGGTGATTTTCATGACAGCCCTGGTCTTTGTTTTGATGATGACTACTCAGCTGGGGCTCCAGCGTAGAACCCTCAACCTATCAGCACAGCTCCTTCACCCTGCTGGCACAGACTTTCTAGCTTCCACCACTGACCTTTGGGCCTTCCCAGCACAAATCCATACAACAGACTAGTATGAGTCCTTGTGGACTCTAGACATCCAGTTGGACTTGTGGGAGGCATGTCATGAGCTGGGGTCTTCATCTGGACTCATGCAGGACATTGCTGTGGGATCCAGGCCCTTGGCTGAATATTCCAGGTCTTTAGGGTTGTGGATATATTTCCTGCACTTTCTTGTGTTAAACTCTGGGTAACCATCATAAATAATATTATAAATTCTGTGTCCTGATTCTAATTGTTCTCCGTACAACCCCTGACTACAACAGTACTCTTCCCAACCACACAACCAGCTTCCGAATCAACATGGGTGAATTCGTTCATACTTGCTATTTTATATACTTTAGTCTTTTTAATATTTCTTTTTTTACACATATTTATTAGTATTGTAATTTTAAAAAAAAGTTAGAAAGTTGAAAACAACACTGGCAGGTTAAACCCAGATGTCAGGTATGAAACACAAAGCTAAGTGTAAGAAGAAAGACAAAGTCTTTACATTGGGTTCAGTGCTTTCTGCCGAGGCATTTCCAGCACAGACGCCAGTGGTCATGGGGGAAAACAGTCTTTCAGGGGAAGCTGAAAGCTGAACTGAATGCTAATATCCCATGCAGTGAACTGGTAGCCCCATCAGCACTGTCTTCTATGCTAGTCATGGTGTCCAGACAAATGGGTGACTTGAAACCCCAGTAGGCCACTGTGACACCCTAAATTCTCATGCATGTCATTGAAAGCTTTGTTATCCAGAAAGGAGCAGGACATCTTCCATTGGGTTGATCTCAGTTACTGAGGGAGTTTAAGAAGCTACTACAGACTGGCCTCCCAACAGAACTAAAGAAAGTTACTCAAGTGGCCCCTCGGGCAGATTTAGATAACAAGGCAAACCTCCTGACGTATAAGTACTGTGGGGTGCACACCTGACTTGTGCCAAGAAATACACTGGAGCTTAAAGAAAGCAACCATGCATGTGTTTACAGGCCTGTACCCTGTACAGTTCCTCAGGCATTGCCTGAGCTAAGATGCAGGGCAAGGGCCACTGAGATCAAGAGGACTCTAGCTAGGCTTCAGATAATTCCTGTTATGATGAAGCATACTCCCTTACATCTTCTGGACCATTGTAGGAGGTGGACCTGAACAGCATGACCAAGGAGACAGCATTACCCTTCAACCTACACTGGAGCCATATAGCATAAACTCTGTGTTCCTATCCTGTAATCCAAGCCAATTGATTGTGATGAAGCTGTACAAGTTTATTGCTTCCCTGCAGGTTGCCAAGAGATCACAGAGGAGTTCTGTTTCCAGGAGACTGATGGAATTTAATGAACATCCAATGAGTGCAATGAACATCAAAT